ATATACAGAAGTCAATAAGAAGAAGAAAAAATCCCCCTATTTCTCACTGGATTTATAATTTTAAGTAAACATCTTCCAAGTGCGTTATAGTCTAAATGGCCAACAGCATGTTCATTTTGTAATTTTATGTACTCATAGCCAAGATCCAAGAACACAGCAGTTGTAGCAGGTTATATAGTTGTAAGAGTTTGAAGTGAAGTTTACTGGGGCTTTTTCTGTAACTTTAGCACTTTTGTTCACACTCAATGACATATATAACATAATTTGACGATTAAACTGCTTTTTTAAATATTTAACCTCAACAAATACTTAACATGGTAAGTTTGACTATTCTACATTAACATACCTAAACCATGCTGCATCACCATGACACTGATCAATCCATCCTCCTCTCACAGTTTTCTTCACTGATCATCAAGATAGGATGAAAAGATTGAATTTACGATTAGATTTAAGATCGTTGCTTTGATTGATTTCAGCACCGATCAGGATATGAAGTTTTTGTGCAACAACAACTGGCATCAGCTTTCCACACTCCCCTATTTCACAACATTACTTCTTAAAGCTACACAGAATAGAAAGCATCATCAGTGGCCTTCCACATCTCACATATGCAACTGTTTCAATTAGATTGATTGCCATTTTAACAGATTTTTTTATTTATTTATTTATTTTTATTTGAATTTTATTGAATTTTTTTTTTATTTGTATTCTTTCACTTATTTTGCATGTGTGTTGTTGCTGCCTGTGTTTGAGTAATTTCTGTAACTGTGAGACACCTGCTGCTGCCTATCTTGGCCAGGTCTCCCTTGAAAAAGAGGTTTTTAATCTCAATGGGATTTTCCTGGTTAAATAAAGGTTAATAAAATAATATCTGCCACTGCAATGCCTTAAACAGACAATACCCAAATTTTGTGGCTATGCGCATGTGAGCATTAGCTCACCCTATCCAGCTGGAATAAGCATCGAACAAAACTCAATTCTCAGAATAATCATGTGGCAGTCCTCATTTTATTCGCCATGAAAAATAGAAATCGTAGCCTTAATCATGATGCAGTGACACACTGGCTTGTTTAGCTCAACCTCGGAGCAAACCGCAGGGTGGAGACAGTTTATGGCCACATCAGTTTGGTTTAAACTATAATAATCTGCCTGCAGTTGGAGGATGAAGATTCAGCTGTGCTAGTTTTAGTACTTTTTTATGGCCTAATCACTGTGGACCTGAAAACTGGGACGCTGACCTAATTACTATGACATTCTGTATGGAAGCTTTTGTGAGGCCTGTGAATGTTAGTGTGTGGGGAAAATAAGCATTTAAAGCGAGGTGTTTTTATAATCAGTAGAGGAGAATTTGCATCTTTGAGCAAGATATTTTATTTATGAATCTTGACCCCTTTCTAAATAATGCAAGTAGTATCCAGATCAGCTGGTAAGAGGAGCCGGTTCCTGTCTTAACAGGCTGAGTGGTTTCACTGTGAGAACATAACTGTAAGTTTATATTGACCCCTACAGCATTTTCTCTCTCATCAACCCACAGACAACACAATACTTCACAATAAGAAAGGGAATGTTTGGTACATTTATCAAAAAATATAACACTGAAATATCCCATAACAGGGTATCTGGGAGCCACTATAGCCTCAACACTATTTGAAAGTCATCCTACAAACTTGGCACGTGTTTTTGGACACACAGCCATTTTCAGGTCTCTTCAGAGATTCTGGTCTGGACTCTAGCTGGGTCGCAACAGCCAAAGCCACTCCTGTGTTTTCTCACCAGGGCATTGTGTTCATGAAATATAAACTTTTAACACAGCCTGAGATCCTGAGAAATAAATTCAATCCAGGCTTGCACTACATTATCTGCATACATCTGCAAGGGCCTGTTGCTTCAAAGTATTCCCACAGCATGATGCCGCCACCACCAAGTTTCAGCGTAGGGGTCGTAATAATGAAGTGGTGGTCAGTGTCGGGTTTTTCTCCACACACGTCTTTAGGAATTGTGGGTAGATATTTCCCTCTTTGGTTCCTCAAACAGAGGATTTTGCTTCTCCTTGTTAAGATCTGCTTACCGGTATGCGTCTCCCAGCAGGCTCGATCAGTGACTGCTGCACCATTTTCCCCCTCTATTTGAACGTTGTTCACAATGGACCAAAACAGACTAGACTGGATTCTTGAATACCTGTTCGACTGAGGCCCTCTGTCTATAATTACTTCTTTTGACCTGTTTTTACAAAGACTGTTGGTGTTTCCAAACTTCTTCTGTTTGAGAATGATAGAAGCCAACATCCTCTGCACACCTTCTGCCCTCAGGTCTGTGCTTTGGCACAATCATAACCAAAGGACTAGTGCCAACTGTCTGAACTTCATGGCTCAGGTTTCACTCTAACATATACCATCACCTGTGAGAACTTCCAGCTCTAATTATGACTTGTGAATTCGACTGCAGCTTGGAATGCAACTAAATAAGATATACTGGAAGCTGCAGTGAGCCATTTTTACTTATAACAGCTATGGTGTGTAAACCACTTTATACCATTCTCAAATACTTTTCAAAGCCATAGATTTGGCATTTTGCTTTGATCACATTTTGTCTCAAGAGGAACACTTGATGTAAAATAGTTTAGTGTGTTGGGGTGAATGGAAGTCAAAATCGTTTATCAAAAACAGAATTGTCTGCTTCACTTATTGATCCACAGTATAACACATTAAAAACAGGATGGGATGTGCAATAAAGACACTGCTTTTCTGGCTGCACCGCGTGATCGGCACATTAATACTTAAAGGCCATAGGAAACCTGCAGGCAGGCAGCACAGATAAGCACTGCTCTGCTTATCCAACTACCAGCTGCAGGTAAGACTGGCTCCACTCAGGTTCAAACCATTTGCCTGAAAAAGGTACATCTCCCATAACAAACAGAGAACAAGAAAATGTGTAAATAAATTTGCTGACTAGTTCTGTTATTGGTGCTTTTAGCAGCAAATTCTAGCTGTTCATGCAACCAGATTAATGACTCTTTTTATACAAAAAAACAAAACATAAAGAGACGATTCACAGAACAACAAATTATCAGAGGCCTTGAGGCAAAAATGTTCACACCCACAGTCTGCAGAAAAACTGGCTAACAGTGTTATTCCACTGGCTGCAAATGAGTCAGGCGTGCGAATGGACAAGGTATGGCATGTCATAGGTTGCCATTCCCTACGGTTCAGTAACCTGGATACAGATCAAGATGATGTAAGAGGGAGGGATGGATAATAACAATAAGCTTACTGTCCAATTAGCTGTGTCAGCCTTAGAAGGAAAGAGTCACGTCTTGCAAACTACAGAAGAACGTGACACATTAGTTTTGCGCAATGTTGTGCTCAAACTGCAAACTGCAAACAAAAACACAAGCAAAACCTGAAATGTGTCTACGTCAAAAGTATGCAGGGTGACTAAAGGAAAATGGGAAGAACAATTAAAATTTCTGATATAAAATTCTTGGGATGCCACATTCAATGCTGGCGCTGAGCCTGAAACTGAACACAAAACAACAACCTAAGGAGTCACATTCCAGAAACAAGAAATGTGGGATTGCCTGTGAACGTTCAGTCAGGACTCCAAATCTCTCTAGCCAACCATGTGACCGGCATGTGCAGAACTCAAGAGATGTAAGAATGCCCAACTTATCAAAAAAAAGTGGAGGAAACTGTATCATTCGCACATTAACCTTCAGTTAACAGTTAACTTTAATCTAAATAAGGCAAAATATGGATAAATTCATACTTACCAGCCAGCAGGGGATAACCATGACAAATCAGCACTTTGTAACACATGTATATTTGCAATAATACAAAGTAATAAACAGAAATTCATTTCTTTTCTTAGCAATCACTTTGCTGTAAGCCAAAAGAGCAGAGTGCACGAGGCTTTGATGATCCTCAAACACATTACAAAGCAACACTTGGTAACTAGTGAGAAAACCAAGCGCACCACCAACAGAGAGAAAACCAGCTAATTTGTAACTCCTGCAAAGCAAGTGGAAGATGAAACAAAGCAAACGTAAAAAATTAAAATTGATTACTTCTAATAAAGCTCCGCAACAATATTTACCCTGATTATACAGGAAGAATACCGCCACCGCAACAGCAAATCAAGGACAAAATGGCAACATGAGCGAGAGCACAGAGAGGAAGTGCCAGGACAGGTCGATTGTTCAGAGTGAAGGTAAATGTCACCTTTGTTTCAGTGTGAGTATCTCCGCTTTCCTGTGGTGTTTCAGCCGTTTCAACGCTGCGTTTCGTCTCGTGTCCCCTATCGGCTACACGACCAGACGCCAAAGTCTCGCTCTGAATGCCCTCATCATGCGCCTTCTGTCCCTTCCTGTTACTGCTTTCTGCATTCTCTTCATCACTGTTAATGTCAATGTCGTACATCACATCGTCCTCCCTGACACTGCTGCTGTCTACGCTCTCCTGCTTTAACTCCTTGCTCAAACTCTCCTCTGCTTTGCCATCCTCCTCACAATCCATCTGAGGCTCCTCGGATGAGGTCTTCCCCGACTCTGCCTCAAGACTAACTTCAGACATACCTGGAAACAGACAGACAGGCAAGTATGAAAAAGTCCCACGAAGCTGGCCGACTGCTTGTAGTGCCCCTACTAACAAAGTGAAATTAGTTAACTGCTGCTTGTAAGGTATTTTAAGACTTCTCAAAGTCTTCTTTGTGTATCTGTATCTCACTGAGTGATTACTTTTTATTAAATACAGCACCAGGGAATCACAATAACGGTTTCCTAACTTTATACAAAGTCATGTTTTTGTACAAAGTTAGAATTGTTTAAATTCACATTGTTTAAACGAGTAGTGGGATTTGAGGCTGCACAATACATACTCTGGGCCACACCTACAGCACATCCATGTACTATACTTCCTTATCTGCCCCAGTCCAGACCTCTGAATAGTCTGCCTATCAGGCACATGTAAAGACCAATTGTAATTGTGGTGTATGTCCTACAGTTCCAGCACATTAATGTGTCTATCGAATGGCCATGTTTGAACTTTGAGTCGAATGCATGTGAGAGGCACAACCTGGGGTTCTGTTATTGATGAAAGCACTTGCACAACAGGAAAGTGAAGTGGCTCACATATAGACACCATTTTTAAACTACACTCAGGAGCTGCTGTGTAATCCAATACCCAACTAGAAACTCACAACAGGATTTTACAGTTCTATTTATTATTTATTCTAAGGTAAATTTCGATTGAATTTTACCTTGCATTTTAAAGCGTACCTGTAAAACTACGGGTACGTCTACAGGTTGTTAGCAGTCACCTGTGATACTGGAGCAACTACCTCCGATATTAGAGAACTGTTGGATAATTTCCAGATTTTCAGCTCTCTGCCGGAAACAAAGTGCACCTTTCACATAGTGTTAACCGCGTCAGGTTTATAGCTTTTATGACATTGTGGAAATCGACGTGGATGCTGCTAGTACTACCCGGAACAGAGTCGAGTTTATCAAGGTTACCTGTTGAAGTGCAGTCACGTGACTTGCTGCAAGGCTGTTCAAAAGTGATTAAAAAAAAAATACTTGCCAGACCAAATATATAATGCAGCTAATTCATTTCATTTATTAAGATTGCAACATAATAAAAGTGATAAGTATGCATCAACCAAACCGTTCCCTAGCTTTACCCGCTAGTCGGTTAGCCCTGAGCTGCCCACTAATTTGACTTAACGTGAACCTATCGCAGCTGTTGACGTGTAGTTAGCTAGCGTTAAGTAGCTAACAAGCCGACAGGCAGCTAAGGGAAAACTTCCAATGAAAGCACTTAAACTTGACAGCGTCTTGAAGCTTCTCTGGATGTGCACATCCGTGCAACAATTAAACAGGGAAGAAGAAAACTTTAGTTCACGTTACCTGTGCGCGGATGCGGCTAACTGTTTTAGCTGTGCCCCGTTAGCCGTTGTAGATGCTTATTGAAATCCTCAGCACCGGGCCGCACTGGACGTTTTAGCGCAAAGGGCTGTTATCGCAGACGGTGCATATAGATGTACTAGCAGTTTATCATCTGCTGTCTTTCGCTCTCGGCAAAGACGCCAGACTCGCTGATTGACTGCCCGGAAAGACTGTTCCACTCTGCTGGGCCTCTGCTGTCAGCTGAAGCAAACTACATCATTCGCGGGATGCGCTCTCCCCCTGCTGTTAAAATGTGTTGTTTGCAGTTTGTGTCGGATGCCTGTAATACGTTTATTATCTATTTTAGATCCGAGTAGAGACATATAATCTAAGGCAAAGGGATAAGATAAGAAGAAGACCGATATGTTTGTAAAGCATTCAACGTCAGTGTTTATCTCCGCTAACTACAACTTTCTCCCTGTTATCTGCTTAGAAAGTGATTTCCCATGGCAAACTCAATTTCCCACGAGCGCCTGGGTGGGGACGCACATTTACGTTTCGACGCGATCTGAGCCCTGGTTGAGGCAGTCCAGTCAGAGGCCATATTGGAATATATGAAGTCGGCTTGCACTTTGATGGAACTGAGTGTCTGCCGTTTTGAGAGTCTCTATACTGCTATCCAGGATTTATACGCGAGTGATTGCAACAGGCATTCCACTTGAGACTCTGCTAAGTCTGGACGGCAAGTTGTCTCGCTTCTTTTATTGGGAAAAATGAGTCCAACCGATGCTAAACGGGGGGCTAAACGCAGGAAGAACAAGCGGGGCGGTGGCAGTAGCTGCAGTGCTGTCTGCAATACCAGCGGTGGCAAGGCCGGGGTTGTTTCGGCCCTGGGCTGTGAGGGAACAGCAGCACCTGCCTCTGTCGTCGGCTTTTTGACACCTGGCAGTGCAGGCAGCGGGAATATAGGATCCATCACGGGCATAAACGACGAGGTAAGAGTGTCACACTACTGGATGTCAAAACAGGGGTGAGCAGCTAGGAGAGTTATCAACGACACATCTGATTTGGGCCCGAGACTGATGCGAGGAAGGCAGCTAGCTAACTAACAAGTGCAACGTAGCTGGTAGTTAACCGGCTTAATCACAGCTAATAATAGTTGTTTATTCTTTGTGAAATAATCGCCAGCAGTTAAACAGTCCCCAGTGTAATATAACACACTGTCTTAAACGTCAGGCTAACTTACTAAAGTCTTGGCGAAATCCTGGCACTACCATCGTTAGCTAAGAGTTAAGAGGTCGTAGGTGTATCGACAACAATTTAGACACAATCAAGCACTTGGTTGATCTAATATTCTTCTCTGTGTATGGCTAGCACAGGTATAGATTGGGCTGCTCGAATCAAAGTTATTCGGGAATAACATTAAGATTAACGTAGGTGGCTCAAAAGCTGCTATCACCTAGGTAAACACTGATGCTAGCTTATGCTAACAGTCAAAAGCACTAACAATCTCATCACTGTTTTGTGTTTTTAAATTCCGAGTTTCCATCGTTTTCTCTCTCTCTCTCTCTCTCTCCTTCTCTAGTCTGTAAAGGTTTGAGTTTAACTTGGTCATATTTTCCAGAGGACCAGCTAAAGTAATCGACTACCTCCTCCACGTTAGCCTAATGAGCCCGTATACTTCAATACCACGATAGTGAAACTTAACAGTGAAATCTTAAGATGGTTAGCAAGCTTATTTACAAGATCGGAGATGTTGGTTAGCTTAATGGGTCGCGTAAATAACACTTGAGTGTTTTGTATTCTGCATCGAAGGAAACTATGTCCTGTCTGTGCTTCTGTGTACGTTTGTTGTGCTTTTGTAGCTATTCTGGTCTCTCACGTAGAAAGTGTGTGTGTGTTGTTTGTTTGGGATTAGTGATGTTACAGTATCAGATTTTCCGCTACAAGTGGGCAGAAGAATTCATGGTAACAACAATATCGCTGAAAATAAAGAAAAATACCCCAAGCTTCATTTATTTCATCGTAACTTTATTCATTTTAACTTTGTTAATTCACTGCTGCGCTAATAAGGTAAATGATACAAGACATTTCTTGGCTAAACCATTATGGAAAACCAAATGTGACTACTTGGAGCCACTGCTGTTTTGTGTACTCTTTTTGTACGCAAAATATCATGAAGCTTAAACAAAGACCAGTCATTCAGTCAGGCCTGTGCTAAACAGGAGAAACACCTGTGAGTCATAGTGCAGGAGCTAGTGTTAGCTTGAAAAACTGTCAAGACAACGGTAATTAAATTAAAAATTAATTCCTTAAAGTAATACCAGTCTATCTGCACCTATCTCAGTGACTCAGCCTCGCTCTATCTCAGTGTGTGAGACAAACACAGAGAAAGAAAAACCAATGCTGTTAGCACTAAACACCTTACTTTAGTCATCCATAAAGTAAGCATACACTGTCTAGTACGTGTTTATATACTATATAGTGCAAGGTGACAGTATAGCAGTTACTAAAAAGAAGAGAGCCTTGATATAAACTGGAGTCCTAGTTGTTCAGGTATTGGATCATTTACAATATGTTTATGTGCATGTTTTACTGCAGCATTCATTTTTATTTTTAAATGTCAGTTATTACTAATGCGTAACAGTACATGCACAGATAGCCAACTTGTTTTTCTCATAGCACCGATTACTACCATGGTGGTTTGTGTCAGCCTGCAGCAGCAACAGTAATTTGTCGTTTAAGTTTACATAACATGAAACTGCTTGAATTTAATCCTTTAGTCTAAATGATCAGTTCCGACTACTTTTCTGCCAGTCTGTGCATGGCTAGATAGAGATTATGTTTTGCTATAATTTTTCCGAGTTGACTCCTTAAATGTGCGTACATCATTTTTGGGCAATTTTGTTTATAGGCTTTCTGTGTATCCAGTGTGTACTGGTGTGAACCTATGAGAGGTTTATCAGTATAAATATATATGCAGTCGAATATAAAACCCAGAAAATAATACAAAAAACATTAGAAGCTTGGGGTGTAATATAGAAACTGTGTCATCGCTTAGTGTAATTGATCACCTGCATAAATAGAAAGGGATGAGTTCATTGTAAACTATGAGCTGTTTTGTGTCCATCAGGTCAAAGTGAACAGCGGCGTTACACCACAGTTTACGGAAGGACCGGTGAATGCTGACTTCTCTGGAGTCCTTCAGGTAAAGTACAGTCAAGGGTTTCTGAATCCACTCAATGATACAGAACCTTTGTCGCTCAAAGACATGTCCAGTTTACCAGTATAATACACACCTTGACAATAGAACTGTGTGTATGCTAAATGGTGGAAACCCACTCAAGATTTAAGCATTCAGTGTTTCTGTTAATCCAGTCATTTTTAAGTATGGAACGTATTCATATTCGGTAGGACTTGCCTCAGTTATTCATACATTCAGATGCTCCAGCATTTGTATTTTTTATTTTTTTCACAGTAGGGTTTAAATGTTGATAACGGCCTTTTTTTTCCTGATTACTAGTGACGTTTTTCCTCAGAATTCAAATCCATACAACACACATCACGAACATGAATTTGAACAAGGAACGAGGAAATATATGTATGAAATGTACTGTTTATCATAGAGAACCCAACTGATTGATCAGTGAGCAGATATTGTCTGCAAATATTTGCTTTTCACTGATCTTTTATAATAATAATAATAATAATAAATGGATTAATAATACATAAATGGAAATTAAAAAGGTAAAGAAGAAGGGTGAGAAATGCCTTTCAACTATGTTATGAGAGTTGGCGTTGCATAGTTTGTCCAACAGAGGGCACTTTACAACTCTCCTGTTTGTTGTGTGAAACACTACACACTGATCAGGAGCAGTTGGATGCAACGCAAATGAGTAAATGATTAACTAACACGTGTCACACAATGTTCAGCTACTTTCTTATGCCGATTTTTAAAAAAAAAAGAATTTACAATATTGACACCTGAGTTTGAGAATGCGATAATTTAAGAAGGAGGAAACATAGGATTCTGAAATTCATGCCGTAGCTGTACTAGGAGGCCATATCATGTTTGGATAGATGCTGATATTCCGTTAAGTGTAAAGCTGCCCCGCTCTAACCCACAGTACTCACTGAGTCACAGTCTCCAGGAGTACACTTTTAAAATGTAGCTGAAATAGATGGAAGTCAACCTTCTTCTTAAAATCCCATAGCCATCCCACCCACCGTGACAAGCAGTCAGTGTGTATATCATTAATTGAAGCCTCTAGCTTCTAATTACGTGTTTGTGCCCCTCTGTGGTTCACTCACTGAAAGGACTCTGTGTTAAAGTTCCTGTGATTTAATGAAGTACAGCGAGCCTGTTCAAACAGCTGTTGTACCTGGAGTACATTGGGCCGTGAATATTAGATTGGCTAGCAGTTCAAGTGATCGCAAACTTGAGTTTTCCTCTAAAATAACATCTGTATTATTACTATTATTATTATTAGAGAAAGAAAAAATAACCTGCTTTTATTTATTCCCTTAAGTAATAAATGACAACAGCCACTGCATTTCTATCCAGGGGATTTTAATCAAACACAGTGACTTAATGTAAACTAATATTTTTTTCTTTCCCACCACAGACCCCATTCACATTTGGCCTGAACCAGCGAGCGCCCTACACTGCTGGTGATCGCTGCCTCTTGTGTCGATGTGAGCGTAAAGACACTGTTGTGCCTTCAGAGGCAGGCATCTCAGGCCAGAACGGTACGGCACAGCCTGCCAAGACTCCCAGTGCCCTACAGCTGCCTCTGTGGGTGTGCTCTGACTGCAGGCGCACAGTGGAGAAGGAGGACCGACATACTACTCTAGAGCAGTCTTTAGGGGTAAGTCACACGACTGTGAAGATAATTAAAGTTATAAAGAGTTTGTGCATGGAGAGAGAGAGTGCTGCGTGTCAAGCCTTTGCTCGATTCTGCCGTTCAGTCGGTTTTCTGGCTCAACACGGATGCCACATATCTGCAGTTTAACATGCACAGCTGCGGTCTTTCAGCGGATGATGCAGCTCCTGCGTTCACCTGGCACTGCTGGTTCTGTGCCAGAACGGCCGAAACAGATGCAGCCACCGTGAGCAGCAGCTGCTGCTGTAAGAACGTAATGATGGGAGCAGAATAATACGATTGCACAAGCTTGAATTGATTCAACGAGGTAGCGGCTTCTAGACGCTTCAGCTTGAAATGTGCACTTTTTCAATTTTTCAGTGACATTAATTAAATGCTTTTGATATATAATAAATGGTACATAAAAATGTAGTTGTGATTATGGCATTAGCTGCATCTGTATCTAGAAATGAAGGAACTAATTATAAAAATCATAATACATAATGATTTAAGTTTTTATTTTAACACGTAGTCACATTTAATACTCCTAATGATTAATTAAGAAAATAAGTGGCAGTGTTGCTGTTGTAGTCTTAATTAGTTTTCTCTCTTTCTCCTCTGCACACCCAAGTGTGACTGAAAATATCCTCTCAGGCCTGTGTTGTAAGATGACGTGTGTTTGAGTGTGCGCTCCAGTTACTCTGTATATAAAGAGCTTCTTTATGACCGACTGTCTGTGGAAAAATCTTGTGATTTGAAATCAGTGTTTTTTTTTTTCTCCCCCTATAATACAAAGTGACTTTTTATTTTCCTGGTTGAATGTGTGTATGAGTGATTATTAGTTGTAATTAATAAAAACACGTTTCTATAGACAAATTTACAAAGGCAGCGACTTGACTTTGTTTCCGTTCTTGCAAATTCTAAAAGAAATGTTGCTTTTTATTTGTAGGCAAGTGGTAAGATTGCGCCTACATTTTTGTTCTTCATCCAAAGTCTCAGTCTGAGTTGCTTTTGAAAACTCCCAAGCGTTTGTTTTTTGGAGCTCAGTCCAATGTTTTTTTTTTTTAGTTGTTGGTGCGTTAGCCTTGGATGGTGGTCTTGGGTTTGGCTTCCTCTTAAACGTATTGTTAAATGCATCCTAACTGCAGGGGCGTGCTCTGCTGACTCACAGCATTATGGTCCTGTAGTCAAGGGGGCCCAAGCAACTGGAGAGCCTTTATTTTGAAATAGCTGCAGAAAAGAAAATTTGCACATATATTCTCTATCTAGTCTGCCCTATGCTGTGCTTTTTCTGGTGATGAGTGAATGATGCTGTGACATTATAAGTCAGTTCTCACAGTGGTTGGCTGATCCCGGCCCTGATGCTTGTCAATTGTTACTGTAACTTTTCTCTAAACAAAAAAAGACTGCACTGTGTGCTCATCCCAGTTGTAGTTACTGTCCAACACGTTATAAACGTAAATAGGCTGAGCGTCATGTGGTGCTGGACATATCAGAGCGGTCATTTTCAGGGCCTTGTAGCTGTCACAGTGTCCAGAGCCAGATCCATGAGATCATCAGAGATTATTTTATGACAAGCCACAGCTGAAGCGACTGAAGAGGAATCAACTGAAATGATTTAAGTACAGAGAAGTGATTGACATTCATATTATATGTTAGCACATTATTTTCAGCTTTCTGGACAGCCGTGCGACATGCCCAGTGTCACTATCGGCTCCTGATAAATGATCAGCATCACAGTAAACAAATAAAAATGTTTCTGGATTTGTTCAATGTCTTATTGTGATGTCTTTGTTTTTCTTCATAATGCCTACAGAGTCAGGACTTTCTTTTGCACATGCCTGTGGGTAATGGAAACTTGGGCCAGGAGGCAGCCACAGGGGACAGACTGACCACTGCTGCGCCTACTCTACCCATGCTTCCTGCCCCGGACCTCACCACGCCGATGCCTGCTGATACAGTGTGCAGCTGCGAAGCTTGCAACGAGAGGCGGTCAGTTCAGGTTGACTCTTTGATTCCTTGCGTTTTTGTTTTTGTTTTGTTTTTTTCACTGATTCTTAATGAATTTGTGGGAATTACAGGGAGATCTCTGCCGAGTCGGAGAGGGAGTCGCAGCAGCTGCAGAATCATTGGTCGGAGCTTCGCTACCTGGTGCGCTACATCTACAGACAGACGGGGACGCCACTTGCAGATGACCACGACCAGCCTCTAGAGAGAGACAAGGAGGGCATGAAGGAGCTGGTGGATAGGTATGACCATGACCAGAAATCCCGCCTCTCGTTCTCAGGTCTTTCTTTCACTGGCTTTCAGGGGTGTGTTTGGCCACTAGAGGTCACTGTTAACAGGGAGCTTCTCTGAAAACAACTAGAGGCGTGGGAGCCTTTGCGCTGATGTCAACAAACTGAAACTGCTGCCTTGTTTTGTTTTGGGTTTTTTTGTTTGTTTTTCCAGTGTATTTGATCAAGTCCACAGGCCCGTAAAAAGCCTATTGGATTACTTAATATGATGTAATTGAGGAAACTATATGACTCACATTGGGAGATTTTAAACTGTACAGACAGTGTTACAAGAGAAAGAAGAGCTTTACGTGCTGGTTGCATCAATAGATGGGGAATTTTTTTTTCTTTTCCCACATTATGTTTATTGTTTTTCTCCCGCAGACTCTGTGAAAAGGATCCCTATCAGCTCTACCAGCGGTTGGAGCAGCAGGCTCGGGAATACGTCTTGGAAATGAAAGTGCGTCTACTGAAGCACCTTTCTGCAGGTTCCAAGAACACGGGACCACCTGGGACCATAGCTGCAGCCCAAGGTCCTCCTCAAGCCCACCAGTTCATCTCACTTTTGCTGGAGGAATACAACGCCCTCTGTCAAGCTGCACGAACCATCAGCAGCTTCCTGCTCACCCTGGTTCGTCCGAGTGTTGTTCCCCCACATACGATAACACATTTGACATATTCATCGCATTCTTAACTTTTCTTTTATTTCCTTTTTTTTTTTGCTCTTCCCCAGGAAAATGAGCACCTCCAGAAATTTCAGGTGACCTGGGAGCTGCACAACAAACACCTTTTCGAGAATCTGGTTTTCTCCGAACCGATCTTACACAGCAGTTTACCGGCACTCATTGCACAGCTTAGGTAAGACGTCGCTTCTATTTAAAGGAAGACTCTATGACTAGACGCTCATCGTGATGATTTGATTGCTAATAAAGACCCAAATTGCACATTACCTTCTCAGATGCTGCCTTTGAACAAGCTTCCACGGTACTGAGCCATAAGCCAGCAGGCTTATCCCTAATCCCTATTTGTTTGTTGTTTTCTTTCCACAGGCATGGCACAGCTTCCCATGATTCATACAGTGAAGATACGTACAGGACGTTATTAGAGAGCTACCAGCAACTGCAGCAGGAGATGGCTTCAGTGGCTGCTCAGTGGCAGGAGTGTGAGAAGAGGATTGATGACTATGTGGATGAACAGGTACGCAGGGCAGTAAAAGAATGTCTTGTGTAACGCTCATGTTCAGTACAGAGAATAATAAATTGTGTAACATGTTTCTTTTGTAGATGCTTTTTAAGGTGGAGGGTCAGAATATTACCAACCAAAGAACAGAGCCACACAAGTCTTTAATTAGCAAAAATGTAAGTGAAATGAAAACTCTGTGTGACTGTTTAGATATTTTTTTTCAGTCTTTGATTTGTGAAGCTTCTTAAGTCTTTGTTGATTCTTACTATCTGCCTGTTTCCAGACTTTAAAGACTAAGCAGGGAATGCTGAAAGAGGACTGGGAATTCTTTAAGCAAAGAAGGTTTATAGAAGAACAGGTACGGCACGTGATTATGACGCTGTCATTTTACAATGGAGTTTTACAGTTGTGTCCTTCAAAGCGCTGTAATGGTTTCTGTTTTTGTTTTTTTGTAGTTACCCAACAGTAAGAAATCCCCCACCGGAGATAACAACTTCACAGACACAATGAGAATGCTGTCATCTCGTCTGAGTATTCCAGACTGTCCAAACTGCAATTACAGAAGAAGGTGAGCTGTCAGGATTCAGTGGCGTGTCCCTGTCTGGCCTGGGATTGCGTTACTCTTAGTCCAGTGAATTTCAGAAATAATTCAAATTATCTTCACAGGAGGAAAAAAAGGATAACATGTATAAAATAAGTGAACAGACTGGTTATGTTTAGTTGTGAAGAAATTAAATGAACCCCCTTCTACTTGCTGGTATTATTATTATCATCATTATTATTATTATCATGTGCAAAAGTGTTGAGCTATTTCTTTATATTTTGCTTCCAAGGAGCCAGAATTTTTATTTATTTTTTTTTTTGTGGGCTCGTGTAATAGTTTAAGTCTTTTTCAGGCTCTTTCAGTGCAGTCCTTGTACCTGACCATTTTCAGAGGTTTCTTTTCTTTCTGTTAGCCACCTAACATGAATCATTCCAGCATAAGAACTCAAAGGATGAAACAGTGTTGTCTACACATAATGCGATTTCTATTAAAAATGATAAGATAACAGTTTGAAGGTCTAAACTGGTGTCTTTGCAACAACAAAGCGCTATTAGCTGAAAACATGGCACATCTCTACATGCTGTGTAGGGTGTCCTGAGAAATTTTGAAAGGGCAAAAAACGCAGATGAAAAGCATCTGAAAGTCGCGTCTTAAAGTGGCATACCTTAGCCAAGGTTGAGGTATGCCAAATTACACAAGAAGTGGTCTGAAAATCAGCAGTGACATGAGGTGAGGGTCATGTCACTGGTGTGGCTCAAGACTTTTGTCACTCTGCTATAGAACCTATTTAAAGATGGGAGAGCGACTGACTGTATGGGAATTGTCTTTTTAAAATACTTCATGAAGGAACTTTATTGAGAGAGTCCTGTAATCAGCATCACAATATATATTTTGTCTCAACTTTTTTCAACAGGTGCACATGTGACGACTGTAGCCTCTCTCACATCCTAACGTGTGGCATAATGGACTCTCCCATCGCTGAGGACCTCCACATCAAACTACCCATGCAAGGGGATCCTCCCCGGGACTTCTTGGCAGGGGTGCACCCTCCTAGCCTCTCCTCCGGCAGTTCAGCGTCCGGCTCCAACTCCAGTTCTCCCATCACCATCCAGCAGCATCCGAGACTCATTCTGCCTGAAGGGGACACCAACACTTTGTAAGTCATTTTAAAATCATGAATATTAGTGTTTTCCCCAATCTTAGCGTTAACATAAAAATAAGTGCTATTAAAGTGGAACTGATATTTCGATAAATAGTCTCTTCTTCTTCTTCCTGACTTCTCATTTCTCTCTTGTTGTAGCATTAGCGATGATGACGAAGTGCCTCCGTTGTCCAGTAAGTTTGGGGACATGTACCCTATGAGTGGTTATGAGGACAACGGCGTGGTGACTGCTGCTGTGAACGGTCTTCATAACGACATCAACGGGGAAGGTGAAAACGTGGCGCTAAAGACAGGGGTGAGTCCTCTACAGCCCCCAAAAAATGCCCAAGATTAGCTGTGAATTTCCCTGCCGGGTTTCTGGATGATGAAGCTGCAGTTCATTATGAGTGGGTTACGGGTAATTTGGGAAATGTTTTGTGCATGTGTCCTCACATACTAATTCAGTTTTTGTTCTGCACCTCTCTGTGTCAGTCTCCTCGCATTACCAGCAGCAGCAGCTCATCGGAGGGTGACGAGGAGGAAGCTAATAGCGAGGGTGGTGGGGAGCCCCCAGGGCAGCAGGAACAGCTTTCCTCAGGAAAGACCAATAGTCCTCCACCCTCCTACAACCACCAACAGGTATTTATACAAATACAATGAGCCTTCATTCGTCTTCCTTTAAGGGCCATATGCTCAGACGCACTCATTGTGTGACTAGAGATCTAAAAATAATGATCACAGGACACGGGGTTATCGCAGGAGTGTGTTGTTTTTTGTTTTGTTTTTTTACATGAATTTAAATTTTGTTTTAATTTTTTTTTGTTATAGATTAGACTGGGTTTGCTCATTTTAGTTTCAATGCGGTTCCAGTAGTTTCAGTATTAATTTGAGTTGCTAGTCCATTATAATATGAGTGGTATTACTATACAAACACTAGACATGGTCATCTGTGCATCAGTGAAAGTCCCCTTATACTATTTGTGTGGATTAAAGACTAGAAGACATTTGCTATTTATTTTATTTGTTTGTTTGTTTTTTAAAGTCTATAACTAAAGCTAATGCCACTTATCTGGCCACGATCCTTGCCACCTCCAGGTACAGCTGTTACTGACGAAACGAGGTGCTTTATTTGCAGGGCAGGACATCCGTGTATCCGTGCAGTGGCACTGATGAGACCTGAACCACTTTACTAATGTTCATGTGACACAAAAAGCACATCAGTTTAATTCTGATGTAAGAGCGGAGATAAAAACTTGGAAGTGTAGTCACACTAATTTAAAAATAATAATAATAATAATAATAATGAAATCCTCGATGGAGCTGAATTGGAAAAATGAACTCCACTACTACATTCTGATACATGATTTAGCTATTATTACTCTTTTAAATCAACGTGTTTCAAACCTATATTACCCCCACCCTCAGGCAGAGCAGGTCCAGCATGCCTGCGAGTGCCACGTGTGCAACCAGGACCCCAGCTCTTCCACCCTGGGCCCCGCCACGTGTTTGCCCCCTAGTCGGCTCCACGCTGCGCCTCCTCCCCCCGCTGTTGGACACCAATTCTTCACAGACAGCAAGACCCCCCCTGCACACCCCGCCCTCCACTTGTACCCACACATCCACGGCCACTTGCCCCTACACAACTTCTCCCGGCCCCTCCTGCACCCCACACTCTACCCACCAAGCCCACCTCTCACACACAACAAGGTGAGGATAATTTTATTAGAGGCAGACGTAAGTTGTATTCTTCCGATCAGTATGTAGAATTCTAGCATTGAGAGTGTCTTTAAGGGGAAAATTGATTCATTTCCTTATCACGGGGGATTTTTTTAAGGTTCCAAGAACAATGCTAAGATTAGTTGTATGCTAGTTTCATTTGGTGTCACTGCAGTTCCTTTTTTCTGCCACAAGGGGACAGACTGAACCTAAACTAGGGGAAGGGGGAAAAAAGCAAAAAGAACAGAGCAGTCCTGAACTTTGTGTGCCAAACTCAAACCTGTTCATCTCATTATTCCCTTACTAATCACATTTTTTTCCCACCTTAAGCCTCTGCCCCCCAATCCTATATCAAACCACTCGGCGGCCAAGCAGCCAGCCTTCAGTGCGTCTTTACCAGAGCATGTATACCAGAACTGCTTCGGCGGTGCGGGCAGTGCAGGTGACTGGAACAGCTCTCTGCAGTGCCTCTCGCTCAAGTTTGAGAATTTATGGGACGCTGCTGTGATGAAGAGCTGGAATCCGTCTGTGCTGTTGCCCGAATCGCTTCCAGGTGAGCCGCCCTGGCACGGCACAAATCACCAATCATGTTGAAATCATTTAAAAAGAATCGTTAAGACAATGTCTTCCCTTATGTTTTGTCCTAACCCAACAGGTGATATGCTTGGACCACCACTCGCTGATGTCCCCCTCCCTCCAACATCATCTATTTGCCCCCAAGGGGAACATCCCTCACTGCCCACGCCTCTGCCCCCTTCTTCGTCTTCTTCCTTGTCATCATCTTTGTCGTCATCCTCCTCGTCCTCATGCTCCTCTTCAGAAGCCAAAGAGCAGAAGAAGACCGGCGGCAAGAAGAAGTGTCTCTACAATTTCCAGGATGCCTTCATGGAGACGAATCGAGTGGTGATGGCCACCTCCGCCTCCACGTCCTCAGTGTCCTGCACTGCTACCACTGTCCAGTCAAGTAATAACCCACCCATCCACCTAGCATCTAAAAGACCCAACTCTTTAGGTAATATAGGAAGTAGGAGTAGTGGTTAGGTTTGTACTGATGGGGCTTTTTGTTATTAAAATGATGGGACACTCAAACAATTTAACACCTACAGTTAAAAGGGACTCGTTGTGGTCGTTTCCACCGCCGTATTTTATTCTCGTACCCCAGCTCTGTGTTATTCATACATCAAAATATTTTTGGGTGCAGCCCCTCGGTCCATCAATAGTTTGAAACAAACCATTTTAGCTTCCTCTATTTAAACTGCCTTTCTTTTAATTGGCTGAAAAAAAGGTGGCTAGACCTACTCAAACAAAACAACCATCTGACGGCTGTGGATGCTGTGCTCACAGGTATCATGTCAGATGTCTTTGGTATTATACAGAGGCAGAAATGGAAGAAACTGAGCGTTTAGGGGTCTGAAACCAGAGTTTTTGACTCACGGGGAAACTTGTCAGTGTGTATTGTGCATCCTTCATTGTAAGAGTACATATTTAACTAATTGATAATAAGTCCCCTTGAAAATTTGGGTGTGTCATCAGTTTTGATCCCATACAAATTTTTGCTGTCACTGATAGCTTTTATTCAGCAGGATAATTATTCATTTTCTCTATAATAGTAGGGTTTTTTTGGTATTTATTACCTCTTTGACCTTTCCAAATATCAAAGCATATGGGAAGGATGCCTAGTCTTTTATATTTTTCTCAGTCTTAACTGTAGCAAGCATGTTTTACTATGCAAGGTTTGCTACTGTGTCTATGCTTGAATGCACAGTTAAAAATTGACAGAATGGTGAATTCAAATCTTTCTTATGTCCACACATTCAACAATTACTCAGATAACCTGGAGTAAAGTGTAAATTGTGTTTTATTCTGAAATGTCTCATCGTTGTATTGTGGTGAAATGAATGATGTGGCTTGAGCTATAGATAGATAGAGAGATAGATATATAGAGAGATTGATCTAAGTTTAAATGAGCAAATATAAATATCAGCGTTATAATTCATATTCAAAAGGTCATCAAGCTGAAACTGCGTTGCGCTGGTTTAGAAGAAGTGGTATTGACGTGCGAAGCATGCGTCAGCAACACTTGGCTTGTTTGTTTTCCTGTCTGGAAGCTCTGAACACGATCATGTTGTTTTTTGATGATGTGGGGATTTTTTCTTTTGTGTATTTTGTTAATGTAAATATTGTAATTCTGGCCATTTTTCCTCCCTTCTAGATGACGTATTTCACAATCTAGGTAAAGAGGACCACAGGCAACCCACTCCAACCACCCCTAGAAATGGCTCCACAGGACTTACCTCCCTCCCTCCTCTCTCGGGGCCCCCGCTCCCTCCAGCACCCACCGCGCACCTCCCGACAATAGGATCACAACCCTTCCCAAAAATGGCCACTCCAGCGCCAGACTTTGCAGACTCCCACCAGGGTCATTGCCTCCCACCCGCAGAACCTCTGGCCACCTCAATGGATGGGCCCATCAGTGCCCCACCCAGCGTCTGCAGGCAAGTTTGCTGTCTGGTTTCACAGGAAAGGTTATTTATCTTATTTCTTTTTTGTCGCAGGGTAAAAAAGAACCAGCAATCCAAACTGAATTTAAAGTACTGAAACATTAAAACATTCTTTATTTCAGTGATCCTGACTGTGAAGGCCATCGCTGTGAAGGGAATGGGGGGTACGAGCATCCGCCATATGATGGAGAGGAGAGTCAGGACGAGGACAGCTGCTCGGAGCACAGCTCTTCCACCTCCACGTCCACCAACCAGAAAGAAGGAAAGTACTGTGACTGCTGCTACTGCGAATTCTTCGGACATGGCGGGGTAAGACATGCATGTTTATGCAAACACATTGACCTCAGATTAACATCTTGTTGGTGGGTTTTTTTGTTTTTGTTGTTGTTTTTTCCAAATGATTCATTTATTTTTATTTTCCTCGCCCTTACCCTCATTGACTGCGACACCCTTTGTTTTATTCACAGCCCCCAGCTGCTCCTACCAGTCGAAACTATGCAGAAATGAGGGAGAAGCTTCGCTTACGTCTGACAAAACGCAAAGAGGAACAGCCGAAGCGCGAGGAACAGCAGCCGGTAATAGAAAGAGATGGAGGGGTGGAGGACCACAGGCGGGTGGAGGACCTGTTGCAGTTTATCAACAGTGCTGACAGTAAACCCGCTTCCAGTTCTAAGGCAGCAAAACGAGCAAGGCACAAACAAAAGAAGGTAACTGCTGCTGATCAGGCCAGAGGCCTTTTTGAAATGAACACACAGCCTCCAGTATTTATCCTTCTTGTTAAAACCACTTTCCTAGAATACTTGGAAACATATATATATATTTTTTTTTAATGAGTCAGAGTTGTCAGTACACTAATAGTAAACGTCTGTGTGCTTCAGATGGAAGAGAAGGCCCGTCTGGAGGCGGAGGCCCGCGAAAGGGAGGAGCAGCAGTTGTTGGAGGAACAGCAACGGCGACAGAGGCAGGAAGAGGAAGAAGCGCTTCAAAAAGAACTGCTCCGACTGCAGGAGCTGCAGCAACATCGCGCTGCCAAAAAGAAAAAGAAAGAGAAAGCAAAGGAAAATACCGCTCCCCCTCACAACAATCCACAGCCCCTTAAACAGACAGCTCAGAACGTCTTAGATAATCTTCAGAATGGAAAGTCACAGCTGCTTCAAACTCTCATCCGCCTCCCTGACCAGAAGGAACCCAGATTTGACTCACTACCCCGGCCCCATTTACAGCACAGCCCAAACTGCGCTGCTGAAAAGGGGTTTACCGCTGAGACCAACATCCTCAATTCTCCACCTGACCTCCTCAACGGCACCTCCTCTCTACTCGAGGTCAGCAGTAAATCTAAGGGTAAGCAGTCCGCTAAAGTGCCCACCTCTGAGGCTGCTGTAAAGAAAGCCCCAGAGTTACCCAAGAGCTCCGATGCGCCTGTAAAGCTCGCTAATGGCGCTACCACTACAACAGACACCAAAGCAATGCGAACTAGGCCCGTTGAAGCCCTCACTCCTCTCCCAACCAGTGAACCCCAGAGGGAGGAAAGGAGCAATAACAGAAGTGCCAGCGGTAAAAGGCAGCAACACCAACCTCTAGCCCAAACAAAGGAAGACAGGATAAGCCCCCCTGTGTCAAACCCCTCTCCGTCTCCCCCTCCAACCTCCCAGTCCGAACAGACCCAGCAGAACGGCAAACCTCCGACCGCAGAGTCCCCACAGCCCAAAGGCAAGACCAAGAAGAGCAAGAAGAAGAAGGCGGACAAGATGAACAGCTCGATAGGTTGGTTTTAATCTTCTGTGTGTACAAGTCCAGACTACCCTGTCCTGCTGCTAAAGTCGGAACAACAAAGTGTTCTGCATTGTTTTCCTCATTTGTCTCCTGGATGTTCTGTAATAAGCAAGGTTTGATCACCATGAGCAAGTGCTAGAGAGTATTTCTTAATCCAGCTTTGCTGTGATCCCAAACTCGGACGTGCTGTGAAATGTTAAAGCACCTTGGAAACGTAATCCTGACAGATTAGAACCAGGAAAATGTGTATGAGACCAATGAGAGATGAATTTATCTGTGTATGTATATATGAAAATGTTTTATTTTCATTTTAGATGATGTATTCCTGCCCAAAGACATCGACCTGGATAGCACTGAAATGGATGAAACGGAGAGGGAGGTGGAGTACTTCAAAAGGTGCGTTTGACCAAATTATTGAGGAACACTACTAAAATGTGTTCTTCCCTACCTCAAAGGCCTATTGTCAGCTTTCTTCCTTCTTTTCTCTCTTTTCCAGATTTTGCTTAGACTCTGCCCGGCAGACCCGTCAACGGCTATCCATCAACTGGTCAAACTTTAGCTTGAAGAAAGCTACGTTTGCTGCACATTGAGGGTGTTTAGTGAGTGACTGTCAGGACACAATCAGTACCTTAACAGCTATACAAACCCAACCCCGACCCTCCACTTCTCCCTTTACTTCCACCCAACTGTTATCCTCCTGGAACTTCTCCCGCTGTGCCCAAATCACACCCACGCTGCCTTGCTTTGTTCTTGTCACTGTGTGGTTCCAACACAGACCCATCTGGACTGATCCACCTGCAGAAATAAAAAGAAATGAAATGACACAGAATCACAAAATGCTACTCTACATCTGATTAATTTTTCCTGCCTGCTTGTGTGCTTCTAGTCTGAGTTGGGCATTTCTCTTGACTGAAAAGGAAAAAAAAGAAAAGAAAAAAAAAAGCCATGGTCTGAAATTATTTTCTTATATTGGCTTAACTGTAGTCAAAAGATGCTTATTATGTCTGGAAGGTTTCCTTAAAAAAGAAAAAGAAAAAAGAGAGACAATGGAAACTTAAAAAAAGCGAGAAATGTAATGAATTAAAAGCTGTATTTGACATATTGTGGCTTACTATCCCATCGTTTCCTGTTCCTAGCACGGCCTCTCATCACACGATTGACAAGTGAGCTTGGTTAGCTGGTTTCCACTCTCCCAAACCCTCCCCCAACCCCATCAACTACTTCCACCTTATTTCACAGAAAGGAGGAAGGCGTAATACTTGACATTGTTCTTTTTTTTTTTTTGTTTTTAAGTTCTGTTTAACAAACTGTTGAGTAAACGTGTACCAGTTACAGTTTATGTTTTCTTTATTTTGACCTGTAGCCAGCTTGTATCAGAATACTTTCAGAATGAAATTGAAAAAGAACAATACTCACACTATCAGTCTGTTATAGAGTGTATATTGTATTAACACTAAAGCCAAACTGGCTACTTTTAACATATTGTTAAGTAATATTAAATCTTGTCTTTCTTTTTTGAAAGATGGAATACAGTAGTATGGCAGGATTATGTGTCTTGTGTCACATCTTATTTCCTACATACGGTAAAAACCCCAAACCAAAATGTCAAAGGACGTACATACATTTACAGATACAGTTCACGAAATGTGAAGCTACTGTTAGCAGCCAGTTAGCTTAGTGTAAACAAGGAAATTGGGAAGCAGCTTTGCCTCGCTGGGTCCAGCGGTTATAAAAATGCACCTGCCTGGTGAGTACACATTTGGTCGGGACATAGAGTCATAGTATAATGAGAACGCACACCCTGTCGCTTCTAAGCTTTTATGTTTAAAAATAATAATAAATAAAACTGATTTATAGTGGATCTTAAAATTACATAAATACAATCTTCGGTGAACAACATGTTACATGGCGTCACTATTTTAACTATATTTGAGCTAAAATGCAGAAGCAGTGTGTGGAAAAACCTAAGTACACCTCATGACTCAGTAGATGTGGAACCACCCTGGAGCCTGTATGTTGTCAGTCTCTCATCATTGTGGAACAGTTTTGGACATTCTTTTCTTTACAATGTTGCTTCAGTTCATTCATTTGACTGGGACCTTACAATGCCTAGAGCCTGAATCACAATCCCTTGACCAAGCCACATTTTTTCCCTAATTTTTATGCCGTCATGAACATTACCACTTAGCACGTTAGCTGAGGTCTGTTAGGAGATGCAGCTCCTGGATTTATTGCAGTTTCTTTGAACTCGGGGTGAATTGGTTTCACTATCCACTCCTGGGAATACTCAAAACTGTCTTGTATGATTTTATACTTATACTCTAGAATGATGGACTTGGACTCACCAGATCAATAAGCAGCAACAACTGCTTATTTAAGATATTTGCTTGTGTTCATGCACACCTGAATGTCTTAAATCAGCAAAAATGTTAAAACTTGTCCTTCTACAGGTGCTCACATTTGCTCAGTTAATCATTGCATTTAATGAACAGTGCCTGGCTGCTACTTATTCTCTTAATTCTTATGTTAGCAGTACTTAGTTTTTACATGCTACTTCTGCATTTTGGCTTAGTTTCTGTTCAGTATAATTGCACAGTGTAATATGTGTTCATCTCAGGCTGTATTTATCTGCTATGAACTAGATTATTTCCTGACACATAAAACATTAGAATTTAAAGAGAGCATGGTTTACTTCTACCATGACTGTAGCTCTAACCATTCTCACAAATATTCAAACACATCTGGAGAATAACTTTAACACAACTGTGATCATATTTGGTCTATACAGGTAATCAGTTAACACTATTTCCGGCTTCCCTGCTTAAGGTGAAAACACAATGGACCGTGGCCGCAAATTTTGGCTGACAGACATAAAATCAAACTCAGATAGCAAAAACATTACACAAACCATGCCTTACAGTGTCTACTGTTACAACTAAGCAAACCAAGAAGATACACCTTTTACTTAAAAGCACCTGTATCCTTAAGTGACTTATAACTTTGAAGTTCTGATTAATATGATTTAAGCAGCCTAAACTTCAGCCCGGAAGCACAAAACAATCTCTGTAGCTTCTCGGTCATCTCGGTCAAGGTAGTCTTGAGCATCTTTTCCTCAAGTCTAACTCTTTTCAAGCACCAAAAACTAGCCCCAAACAGTTTTTGTAACAGGCTGTGCTTCTGATTTTACATAACGACTCTTTTATTGGAGCAAACCTCAAATGGCCATTCAAGAAACTACAGGTTTTAGCACTTTTTGGATTAGCTTAATTTTTCAACTCGGGTTTTATTTATTTATTTTACTAAGCTCATTTTGTGCTAGCACAAAATTTGTGTGACGTTGACAACCAGCAGAAGAAAAAAACATATATACATATATGTGTATATGTGTATATATATGTGTATAT